CGATGTTAAAAAAAAAAAAAAAAAAAAAAGACACCAGCACAACAACTCTTCAGCATAATTATATTGAAAAGTATTTCAGGCTAAGTAAGTATAGGATTTCAAGAGTTAATGTGCATTGTTAAGAGCTTGGAAGAGTTGAGACCTTCTGAAGAATGTACAACAAGAAGATTTACAGGCAACCAGTGTGTCGAGGTAGGTGTTTTCCCAGCACACCCTTTTGCTAACCTGATCCTTTTGCTAACCTGAGAGGAAGTTCGTCAACTGCCCGGCCAAACCCGCAGAACTGATCACTGTTGTTTGCAGAGCAGCGTGTGCACGCTTGGTAGGATCAAGGAAAAACAGCTCTCCTTTCCAAGAAAGCAAGGAGTTTTTCAGGAATTTCCCTTTGATCGTTAGAAAAATTGGCTGCTTGGAAAGCAACACATCCCAGATGCCAAAACCTGGGCTGAAAAAAAGATCAGGACTCATTGGGAATATAGAAAGTATGTGTTTGTGGGTTTTTCCCTTCTTGTTCTGTGATGGAGAAAACAGAATCATTCATGAAGGAAAATTTGTGCTTTGTAATCACCTTTGGGGAGACCTTAAGGTGCCTTAAACAATTAAGTGAGATCAAACTCTGACTTTGATTTAAATAAGACTCAGCACTGTGTTCCCCTGCTTCTCTGGCAAAGGTTTGGCTAGCCTGAGGATTAGCCAGCACGTCCTTTGGTTGAGATGTTAGAGCTCTTCCCGTTTCAGCCCAGCCATGAAGACAGGTCTGTCACCACACCCCATCCATGCCCTGTATGTGGTGTCACATAATTAGTGTATTGCTGTGACTGGCATGTTTACAGACAACATATTTGCTTTGCTGTTCTGCACAGGCAAATGTTGCCCCCCACCCCGTCTCCTCTCTAAAGGTGGGCACTGGAATTTGACAAGGGCAAAGGGAGTCGAGGGAGCACAAAAACCATCAGATCAGATAAAAAAGAAATGGCTGTGACATCGATACAGCCAAAAGGATATGAGAAAGACAAACACAGATGGAAACCAGAGGGAAGAGAAGGAGACTGAAACAAGAAGGAGAGGTATAAAAGTGAGGGAACAGAGTAAATCTGAGGAGGAGGAGCATATCCATTTTAAATATGCTGCGACTAGGTCAGCTACAAATTGTCATTTTGATGGGGAGATTGCTAGGTAAGCTCACTTGACCCATATTATCCAGAAAGTCCTACATCCTTTAACCTCAACATCAAGGACCACTTTGCTCTCTCTGGTTGCAGTAGTCCTCCCATGCTTCCCAGCCCTCAGGGCCCCAGGGCCACCCTCAGGTGCTGCAGCCTCTCCCTCCCAAGGGGGTTTGGCTGCCTGTGCTCAAGGTCAGCTCCATCGTAGCGCAGCTCTGTCACCCTGGCCCAGGTTTGGGCGCAACAGTGAGCAAGGGCTGTGTGTGAGAAAGGGCTGCGAGAAGCATCGGTGGGGGACCTCCACCCAAGCTGCTCGGGGACAGCACTTATGTGCATAGCCTTGCCTTTGCACCTTGCATCTGTGCCTAGTCTTGCACCTTGTGATCTTGATCGTGATCTTGATCCTGACCTTGCCTTGCTGGTCTGGTGTCCTGCCTCAGTTGGTCAGACCTGCCTCATTGTTGAGGACTTGCCTGGCAGCCTGAGCTATTGGCTAGCCCCGGGTAACACCACTGGATGCACTCTGCTCTTCTCACTGGGGCTCTGTGCTTCTACAGCCCTTGTCAGTGAGAGGCAGCGCTGCCTTCCTTGCTGCTGCCCCGGCTCCCATCCCTCACCCTGCTCTGGCTGCTCCTGGGAAAAAGCCATCTCTAAGAAATTTTGCTGTCCTGTCAAGGGAGAGTTAGTGTTTCTATGTGCACTGAGTGCTCTGGAGCCCGGAGAGGTTGTTGGTGGCCTTGCAGAGAGCCTGCTGAAACCACTGCTTGCTGGTGAAGGATGGTGAATTGCAGAGCCAGGGAGGAAAGAAAGTATAGGTGATGTTTCTACCTTCAGTATAAAGGCAACCTCTACCCTCGCAATCAGCCTGGAGGCTCCTGAGAACACCAGAACAGAAGACTTAGCTAGATTGCAGACCTGATAGGCTGCACAGAGCTGGTTTTGTGTTTCTTGTTTTGACTAACAAATCAGGAAAACTGCAAACCCTGCGGTAAGTGTTGGTTCCCACGGCCTGAAACAACAGCTCGCCAGTGATGGAGCTGTCCTTTGCCTTTCGCACTCAGGAAGCTGCTAGTTGGCATTCAGTGCATGAGGCTTGCCTGGTGCTCCTCCAGGACACAGGGAAACAATCTGCAGAACTGCTTGAGGGCTAATTTGGGGTTGCTAAAACTATGAAAGAGAGCGGAAAATCTGCTGCTAGCAATCTAGCTCACCCAGGTGGGCTGAAGAGCTGGCAGCTCTCCGGAAGGCAACGACAGACTCTTGGCGCTGAATACCTGTGTGATCCAACAAAGAGGAGAGAGGTTAGATGCCAACGTGCCAACAGGCAAAGAGAGAGAAGCACGATCACATGGGATGAGGTGGCCCCAAACTATCTTTCTGCACGTTTTCAAACCGAATGGAAAAGCAAAGTGGAAACCATGGATTTTTTTAAAAAAAAAGGAATTTAAAGCTGAAAGAGGTTGGCAGAAGCAGAAGAAAAGAGTTTAAGTGTCAGCAGGTGCCACAGAGTGTAGCTATACACCTGTGCACTGGAACAGCTAGCAGTGCGCCCTGAGACGCTGATCATGCTCAGGGCCTGGAAGGTGAAAGCATGCATCTCCTCTCAGGGTCAGGCCTTCATCTCCCAAACTTGCACAGACACAAGTTCTCCTCTTGTTTTGGAACAGCAAATGTTATAAAAGACCTTTATAAATGGTTTTAGAATACTATTTTGAGAACAATTCTAATTTTAATTATTCCTTCCCTCCCATCCCCCAAAAGTTACACTACTGTCACACAATAACCAGAGTGATACTTGCTCTCACTGCATCCTGCTATGAAAGTGGGTAGGGGTGAAAAACAGCATGTTACTGTGAGACTCAGGAGATGTGAGTGGTGGAACTAGCTATGGGTGGGAATTAGAGAAGGGATTGTAGTGCCTTTACCTGTACTGGGTCGTAAAATATTCCTATTACTTGCAGAGGTGGAAGCGCCCCTGAATGCTTTGAAAATATTCTGTTGGTTAGTACATGGAACTTAAACACAAGTTATCCTAGTATTTTAGAAATACAAATTACTAATTATTATTAATTTAAGACATACCTGTATTCTGTCCTCTTCCTTGTGCAGCCTGAACCTGTCCTAAGCAGACATCAAAATGGAAAAGTGTGATTTATACCATGTTTGGTTCAGGACTACTGCTACCTGGATTTTTCACTGTCATTTTATAGCTGAATTAATGGTTCATCTAGAGAGAGTTTTCATTAATATACTTTCTCAGATGTTAACTCTATATGTTTTAAGAAGGGATTGCCTTGCTCCGTCTGTCATGTAGATCAGCCCAGTTAGCGTTCCCTTCAGTTATGAATATTACTTGTGCAAGTCTCTGGTCTGCATCTAAAATGATTGTAGTTACTGCTGTGATTTTCTCTCCCTTGTAATTTTCCTTCTCTTGCTCACACTGTTATCTATGTTTATTTCTATTTTAGTACCATCCAATTGTGCTGGTTGTGTGAGGAAGCTTAAAACAAACCACAACAATCCCTGAGACCAGATACTACCCTTTCTGCAGAAAGTGAGTGGATACAAACAAGCAGGCAGACTGTAAATAATGAGACAATGACAAAAATAATGTGGGAGAATTCATGTGTCTGAAATGTCTTTACCACCGTCTACACAAAAGGCTTTTTTTTAAGGTGATTGGGTTATTAAACTCCCATTGTTCAAAAATACTAAAGCCTCAAAGCATTTGCAGATGAAAACCATGTCTTTAATCATTGCTCTCATTTCATTAATTATTTTTAAGAAGCTTGTTAACAAACTTATCCTTTAACAAGCTCTTATTCATTAGTTTTCCCAGAAAGATTAATTCTAAAGCCTGCTGAAATCAGTGGGAATGTTCTAGCTGACTCCTGTGAACACTGGACAGGAGCCCGTGAGATATTTTTATCAATAAGATATCGTAAATGAGACCATTTTGAACGGTCGTCTCAGAAAACAGGAATTGTTGCTCCTTGGGAACTTGATATTGCAAAATGAGGTGACAGCAAATAGCTTGTGTTTGACCCAAACTTGAACCTTTGCAGGCCACTGGAAGCCCTTTGATGGGGTTTCTAGGAGCTGTCCTGAGAGACCTTGTAAACTCCGGACACCAAAGTGATCCTGTTTAAGGAAATAACAGGCTCATCTGCCAAAATAGGCAAGGCTTTTAAACTCTGTAAGCTTGTAGCTCTGGCTCCAAATGGACCACGGCTAGCCCAGGCTGTGTTTCTGGACTGTGGAGGGAAAAGTCTATCTGTGCGGCGGTGTTGGATGGGGTTGTGCAGGGCATGCTTTCCACAAGCTAGATTGATACGTGCTGAAGAGCTGGAAGGAAACTAACTCTGAGCCTGAGAGCTTGCCTTGTTTTGGGTTTGCCACAACCAAGTCCAAACGTGTATGTAAGACTCTTTACAAGGCCAGTAGAAACAGAGTACAAGAGGGTGACAGAGAGATTAGCTCAGTATTAGAAGTATTTTATACCATTTTAAAAATTAATTAACCCTACTTTCCACACCCATGTTAGGAACGTGGATTTCTCTCTATACTCCTTTTGATTGTACTGGGCCTTGGGGCTCTTCCCTCTTGCTGTAGCTCTCGAAGCATGCTACCACCATCCCTGCAGTACGCTGGTTTCTGCTATGCTTTTGCTGGCTGGGGCAAACATGGTGGTGGTAAAGGAGGAAAGGTTGGAATTGCACTTCCATGGTCTGCAAGGCTTACTCTTCCTTCAAATCTGAGATGCCAATAAGCCTGCAGCATGTGAACATATGTTCATTAATGTCGAGCTCTGTGCAATCTGGTATTAGGAAAAAATTTTTTACCATGAGAGTTGTAGAACACTGGAACAGGTTGCCCAGAGAGGTGGTGGATGCTCCATCCCTGGAGACGTTCAAGGCCCGGTTGGATGAGGCCCTGAGCAACCTGATCTAGTTGGAGATATCCCTGTTCCTTGCAGGGGGGTTGGACTAGATGACCTTTGAAGGTCCCTTCCAGCCCTAACGATTCTATGATTCTATGATTCTATGACTAGGAGAAGTCCGTAACAAACTGGGGATGGGCAGTCACCCGGTGAATCCCAAGTCAGATGGGTCAGAAATGAAATCAGTGAAGTAGAAAAACCTTCGTTGGGAGCAAGTCCTGTAGTGAGCATGGAGGCAGTAAAGGATGGGGACAGCAGAGAGAGAAGCAATCTGGAGTGGACCTTGCAAACGATGGGAATTGATTTGAGAAGGTAAGCAGCTACTCCGTGCACAAAACATGCCTGGTCTTCTGCAACTTGTTCAGCACTGCTGATGAGCTAAGTAGTCAGGGTTAACTTGGGGAGAAAGGCAGCATCCAAAAATAAATGCCAGCTGTTCTCCCTAGTGCCCTTACTCAGGACTTCCTGAAGGTATGAGCCCTGGTAGTCTGGTGCTGCTGGAGAAGAGCTTTCAATGCTTTCTGTAGCACTTACACTATTGTTGTCTCCTCAGTCTTTTTTTTTTGTTTTTTTTTCCTTTTTGCTATGACAGTAAGTCACAGCTGTGGACGAAAGAAGTGTAGTGTACAGCGGTCAGCAGCGCCCACCTTGGAGTCTCTGTAAGAAAAGTGATGCAACCATTGAACTGAGCTGGGCATAGAGTGCAGGGCAGCACCTTGCCTGAGCATGCCCAGGCATTCGCTGCCTGATGCTTGGTTGCCAGCACACTGCTTCAGTGTGGCACCAAGGATCGTGATATGGCTTGCGATTGCAGCACTCACAGAAGCACTGGTTTTATTCCCAACTCTCATCTAGGGTCCAAGCAGCTGTGCAAGAAAGGATTGCTTGAAGAGCTGAGATGGGGGAGGGCAAGTGAGTTCATGGCCCTTGGGAATGTGCTTGGTAAACTTCTGTTGGAAAGAGGCAGAAGCCATCGTTGTACCAGAGTGTGGCTGAACTTAAAGTTGTGCCCAGAGCAGGAGAGAGTTTGCATCCACTTTCAAAGCCTGCTGCCATTGCTGCTTCCCCCTCAGGATCGTTCTTTCCTGCATGCTGCACTACTGAAGTGCTGCACTTTCTGGTAAGACAGATAGGAATAAGCTGCCAAATGTCATGCTAGTCACACCAGTGGTTTTTCATTTAACAGTTTTCCCACATAAAATATTTAAAGCAGGGGTCCCGTGATGGAGCAGAGTCTCAGATGTTTTTCCTGTTTCTGTAACTTTGACAACCAGAAGATAAAGGAGAAAGAACAGCAAGAACTAGGATGGAGGAGTCTTGCTCCTGCTGTAATGCTCTAATCTGCAAGTCCTGCTTTTGTTTTGCCCCTGTGAACTTTTTCCAGTAGCAGTGTCTGGAAATGGAAACTCCAGAGCTAACAGCAGCCACAGATGTGCTCGTTCTGACTGTGCTCTATTTCAAGGCTATTTATTTTTGAGGCATCTTTTGCAGGCAAACTACTAATGCCCTATGAAAGGTAGATCTGTGAGTCTCTCTGAGCCAAGATGGACAGGAGAACATTTGATTCTGTCCGGTCAAGCCAAACTCTGGTTAAGGCCAATGGCATCATCAAAAACTCTGACCTGAATAATCAGAGTGAGTCCTAAAGGCTCCTCAGACAAACTGATAAACTGTGTTTGGTTGGGGGGTTTGTGTGTGTTTTTTGTTTGTTTGCTTGTTTTTGTGGGGTTTTTAGCCAGTATTTCTCTTTTAGAATCAAGAAGAGATCAGGAGAATTCAGGAAGCCAGATACTGAATACAGACATTCTGGACCTGGTCCTAGAAATGAAGGCTATGAAATCAGAAGTAGGTCTCCACCTCTCCTCCAGCTCACAATAACCTATCCCTAAGTCTGATCACTTTAATTTTTTAGGAGTTAATTTATGTTTAGAACTTCAGTAAAGAAAATTGTGAAGAAACATGGAGCAATTGCAACGAAGTGACTACTGAAAGACTTCAAAAAGTGAGTGCTTTTTTTTTATTATTTTTTTTAACTAAAGGTTTGGTCTTATTAAAGACAAATACAACCTTCCCACTGATTTCAGTGTTTCCAGGACTTTACCTTCAACATGCATTTCTCACTGACTGAGGAACCTCAAACAGTGTTTCCTAATTGCTAGTAAAGACAATAATGGCCTTTACTGTGCTCATACTGTGGGAATGGGAAATAGAAAACAGAACAACAAGCAGGACCAGGTTTACAGGCACATTAGGTACTGAATGATGCAGATTCCCACTGAATTTAAACCCCTTTGAATTGTGTTGGCACTTCTGTAAATTCTCCCATACACAGGACCTGCACATTTCACAAGGTAAGATTAACCTCTCCAGCTCCTGCCCTTATTCTGGGCTCGCAGCTGAATTTGAGTTCGTGATGCTTTCCCGCAAGACCTGGATTACTCAGAAGTCACCTGCCCTGCCATGTGCTTGGCTCTGAATTACTCGGTAGCAGGGACGGCCACAGTTAAGTATGTGAGAGCAAAGCTGAGCTCAAGGCACTCAGAAATAACGACAGAGCATAAAATCTAATAATGGTCCAGCTTCCTCTTCACTCAAAAGCAATCATATTCCCATGCTCAGAAACTTACAAACAGTTGAAAATATTCTCCTTTACTTGACTGCACAGCAGAGCAATTACACATCATATGGGAAAACACCTCTAAACAATTGCATTGCAAGCTGTGGGCTGGAATGGGAGCTGGCTTCTGGATCGGGATGCAGAGCTCTGAGCTGTCAATAACAGGAATGTTATGCCAGGAATAACATCATATTTATGCCAGGCTCAGAAACACAGCCTGAGGTTTTCGAAAGAGCATTAGTTTAATGGAAGTCGTCATTTCAGAGCTCTCAGCCCGAAGTTTAGATGGCTGTGCAACCCTCTGCATCACATATTTTACGACTAATCAAGTCTCCCTCTGAGAGAGTAAGACAGAACAAAGCACTAGGAAAACACAATTCAAACAGCACAAGCTTTGTCTCAAGTGTTGCAAAACTCAGCGTTTGTCAAGGCTGAAATGAGGCAGATATTCACTAAAAAGGCTTCCCCAGAGCTGTGGGTGATCAGCGTCTCTGACATTCATGCCAAGTGTCTGTTTTTCTGTTTAAATCCAGACTTGGATTCAGCCATTGAGTTTGCTGAGGCTTGAAAGGTTATTGAATCATTGCTGCCTTAAAATACACTGTACTGCATGCCTTGTGGCACATACTTCTTCACCATACTTACTTGATGCTGCAGCTACCACAGATAAGTATGCTGGGTGGACATTGCTAGAACCTAAAAATAAGGGATTTTAGTTTTCAGTTATTGAACCAAAAATCTCTTTGTTAATGAGTAAGAATAAACAGAGAAGGAAAGATGAAAGAAAACCATGTGTGGAAAAATCATATGAAAATTCCTTCACAGTGTTTTAATATTTAAAATCCCAAAGCTTACAAAAAAAACATATTGCAACTTTCATCTCTTGAAATTTATCACAGAATTAGTTCTAAAATGAGACTTGACCTATTTATTGAACTCTCAGTCCAGACACATGAATCAAAGAATTGTTGACTCCTATACCTGAAAATCATGACAACACTTGCGAATGAAGAGCTTACTCCCACATGAATCAGTCACGAATCAGTTTATATGCCAGTATATTATATGTAAAGATAAAGACTAGCCATAAATTTACTGCAGATGAACTCTCATCTCAGAGAATCTACATGGGTTTGTGTTTGTGTGAGACACATACAAAATTTGTGTATCTCGAAGGCACAACTCTAACGCCAGCCCATCTGTTGGAATTAATTTTTTTTTTATCTACTCCTAATATTTCTACATTGAATTACTGAATTCATGATCCACTAAATCATGGTATATTCAGCTGCATGCCTTGTTCCCTAAATTTTAGCAAAGCTGTAGATCAGGAGGAAAGCAATTCAAACATCCATGCTACTGACCTATGTCTCTGACCCTATGCAGTCCGGGTCGAGTCTTGGCTGCAGCTGCAACTGCTGTGGTTCTGGTTGTTGCAGGTGTTGTGATTGGCTTTGGTGTTGTGGTGGAAGGATCCATTGTTGTGGTCGTTGGTGTTGGGCTTGTGGTGGCCATTTGTGTAGCTGGTGTCGGCACTGGGGATGTCTGATACTCTTTGCGGACTGCTTCCCCTGTGGGAAGATTGACACAATCAATGCAGATGGATGTGACATGTGGAAGCATCGCTAACAGCGCTCGCTGTTTAAGGTGACCCAGACACTGGTGTTCTCCTCAGGATGTCTATAATCATTGTCCTCTGTGGAGTCATTAGTACCTTCATTGCTGTGTGGATGTGTAGCACGCGTGCCTGTGTGACGCAGTATCACACAGCTCTCCAGGGGGTGCTGACAGCACCTTGTTGCAGCCTCGATGTTTCCCCTATGCTTTCTCTGCTTTGACCAGGAACACCTATCAGCCTGACAGGTGTCTCAGACCTGTGAAACGGTTCAAGCAGCGAGTGGCGGTTCCTAGTTTTCCATCAACTTTTCTCAGTGTAATTAAGCGGTTAGAAAGCCTATAAATGGAAATCAACTGACATCTGGCAATAAAAGATGGCCGTTATGAGTCACAGGCCAGAATAAAATATGTGTTGCTCACCACAGCACTGAAATGCTTTTGGCAGAAAGACAACTTTCAGGTAACAGTGTTTCAGGAAGAGGGTCAGAGGCAGAGCAGAGAGTGTTAGGGCTTCGACTGCGGGGAGCCAGGGAGAGTACCGCCTGGGAGGTGGTGATTTCATCTGACTTGACTCATCTCACAGTTGCTACTACTTTTAAAATGTATCATCTGTTGTGAGAACAGTGACAACTCTAGTTGCAGAATTTGCATCCTAAACGTCCTTATACAAAATTGCTAACATGCTTACAGTTCTTTCAAGTCATTGTCTTGAAAAAGAGCCTTCACTGTTAGCTTCTCCATCTATCTACAAAAACTGTCCTAAAATATATTCCACGTTTACCTCAGTCTTGTTCCTTTCCTCCCTGCCCATAACCCTGGGGATGGCCTGACAGACTGTGTATGCTGAAAGGGAATGGTGTGCAGTCTATTCATTGCTGCACAGCATAAGCTTGTATTTTACTGCTGGATGTTCTCTTTTTGGAAAGCATCGTCATGAAACTGTCTGGTGGATTAATTGCTGCCTAATGCTAGCCAGTGAAAAACTCAGATCTCAGACAGTTTTAATGGGATAATGCTGAAAGAGAGCTCAGAAGAAAAACAAAACAACTCAGCTGAAAAAATCAGTATGAATGGCTCTCTTTGGGCTGAATGGTGTCCCACTCCACGCTGCTGCGCTAAAAGAAAGAAGACAGAGGGCACAGTGATCCTTCCCCTGCAACGTGGTGCTGCAGGAGCGGGGAGCAGGCACATGGGCTGGCTTTATACCCCAGGCTACAAGGAGCAAGGGAGCGTAGAGCAGAAAACCCAAGGAAGCAGCATAGTAAGAGCAGAGAAAAGATGTTGCCTTGGTGCATAATGGCTGGGTTGCTGGTGGAGCCTTTAACACAAGAGGAGGGCTCTCAAGGGCTAGCTGCTCCCAGTGCTCCTGCGGGCAGGGTGCCCATCTCCCTCACAGCATCTTCAAAGGGTTTGCAGGGCTGGTGCCCTGCACAGGAAACTGCCAAGAGCCATAATGCGGGCTTTGGAAGTTCATGACGCCTGAACTCATCCAAAGCGCAGGCAGAAAAGAAACTGAGAGCATGCCCTCTCTTCTCTGAATTGGTATATGCCCTTCAAGCACCTTCACAGGCACTCATTTAGTGGAGTCGGTTCAGTGGGAAAGAGGCAGTAGAGGGGGGTCTGAATGGGTGGTAAAGCTGTATGTGTTACCAGTGTCAAACTGCTTCATATAAGCATCTGCAGGCAGTTTAGACTGGAAGGCGTAATGTAATTGACACTTTTTAGAAAAGAACACCCTTACCTTGTTCTGATGGTTTTTCTGGTGTGTTAACGGTATCTGCACTCTTCGTAGATTTTAGGTCTTGCTCTGGCTTTTTAGGCTCTGAAGCAAAATTAAGCACATTAGGAAATGCAGCTCTGGAAGAAAGGAATTTTAAATCTCCTATTTAGAGATTAAAAGCCCCCAAAGGAAGGCATCCCATCACCTGGTATTAGGTAGGTCAGTCAGTCTAATCAGAGCTTTCTCACCAGGCAAGAAAAAGTGATGGCTGGGTGCCTTTAGACAGTAGTAACCCCATAATTTTGGTGCCAAATTTAGGCATTTTTACTGCCCAAAACCTCCTGCCAACGTCAATAGAATTTCTGAAGCGAGCAATAAATATTAGATTTTGCCACTAAGAAAGCAATACTCATAAGATTAATGATTCATGTTGATTCTTCCTCTGAGTAGCAACATGTCCTGAGAATCAGGGTCACAGTGTGTGTAGGGTGTTTAGAGAATACCAGCATGCAATACATGCAATATTTCAGCCGCTAATTCACATTCAGATGTAATTCTTTCTTGCCTGACATTGTCAGATCATCATGGGGCCAAATCCTGAATGCTACACTTCAGCTTAGAAGGAAAAAGGAGATTTCGGGGTCTTTTTTTTTCACCTAAGACCTGAAGACATCAAAGTAATTGAAATGTTTATTACAGTTAATTTACTGCTACCCTGCAAAAGAATCTGCCTCTCCTCTTATGTCTGACTGAGTACCAGAGGATTTTGGTCTTCCATATTTTCTCTTCTTTAGCTATTTTGGCAGCATTGACCTATTTGAGAAATTACTCCAGAGTTAATGGTTTCATTAAAATGCATATTATTTTTTAAAACAACAGCTTTTAATTATTTTTACCAGCTGTGAATAGTTACAATTTTGGGAAGATTTTTCTTGCTGTGCCCAGCATTTGGGAAGCACTGTAACCACCAGCAGCATTTAAAGAAATGTCAGGCACTATGAATCCTCAGTGTCTCTGGGATAAGGACCAAAACTGCATCTCTGGCAACTGTTCAGGTGTGAAGCAGGATTTTTCACTAATCTGGCAGCAAACGAGTGTAATCCTCAAAGTACTATCTGTACCTCCTGCAGATAATGGTTTTAAGTATCCAAGAGCGCAATGTGGTCTCTATAACTTAAAAGGTAGCTTTTTTAAAATTAAGAAAGAAGTAGGAAGTTCTCCATCACAAGATGGCCCCAGCACCATATTACAGAGACTTTTATCCTAAGAACAAGCTGTTTCTAGCAGAGTACAGCTGAGATGCCTGGGCTGAGGTGGCAGGGCTAAGGGGGGTTAACAGGGCCAAGTGAGGCTCAGGGAAGATGGATTGTGACCATTAGATCTCTCTGCTATCTTTTGGACAGGGCTGGGCAAAACAAGGCAGTCGCGTCCTCAAGTTCTGGGTTAGGTGTAACAGTTATTATTTGCCCCTTTGATCATCCTGGACTTTGCATGAATACACAGTCTTTGTTGCTAGGATCCTAGCATTTCCATTTACACTGTTCGATTCAAGAAAAAAGTGAAGGAAACCGCTTTCATCTTTGGTTTGCTGCAGGAACAGGCTCCCGGTATTTTGTTTGCCTGACTGAGATGTGACCCTGGCTGAGATTGTCCCTGGTCTGATGTGAGATGTTTGAGCTGACAGTTCAAGCGTGGGGGATGATGAGATGTGATTTTAGTAAATGTTTCTTAGCAAAAGCCAAGATTTCTAAAGTATTGCCTCCATTCTGACAGTGCATAATATTTGGGTCAGTAATTTCTTTGTACCTGGTACAAGATATATACAAAGCTGTACCTATTTGATTGTAAATGCAAAGGCTTAGCAAATTAAAGGCATGGCTTTGAGTGATGCATATTTAGTCTGAACAACTAGAGTTCAGATTTAAATTTGCCTTTGTGTAAGTAAAGCCTATAGACGAGGAAAGAGCTCTGTACTTTGCTTCCATGGACCAAACAATGAAGTACAGGAGAAGAGCAGGGCTCCAAGCAACCTATGGATGCACCCACTGAGAGGTATTTGAGTTCATGAAGAAGATACAGCACATTTTGTTATCCCACAGCTTGCAGTGGAGAAGCTCAGGAAGGCTCAGGTTCAGCAAACAGCAAAAGAGCCATGTTAGGGAAACGTGTAGTAGCATGAGATATTAATTTTGTTTTCATTCACACCCCCAAGGAAGAGTCTGAACAGTTGTTACAGGGAGCATAAACAAGTGTCATTTCAGTGATGGAGGCACTTCACATGCTCTTGAATATCAAATACCACCCGGTGTGAGATTTGATGAAAGACCTCTGAAAACAACTGAATTATTTAAACTGAGTTGAGTCTTACAGAGTAGGATGCCGACTAAAATGGTTATACAGAGTCGTCCCTTATATCATACTCAGCTAAAGCTGCAGTACATTGCCATCTTTGTCATTAGTATTATGTTATTATTTATTATTATACTCTCGACACTGAATATCCCAAAAGATAACATGAATAGCGCTAGGAGAAATCCAACATGTAAAACGTCAAATGCTTTCTTATAATCAGTACAGCATCATACTCACTAACAAATTCAAAGCAAGAGGGAAACTACTTGGGAACTGCTGCCTCCCTGGGGCCCAGGTCAGGGATGTCACTAGGAAACCCCCTGGTCTGGTACAGCCCTCTGATTATTATCCATTACTGGTCATGCAGGTTGGAACTGATGAGGTAGCAGAGACGTCCAAAAGCCATCAAAAGGGACTTCAGGGCACTGGGGCGATTGGTTGAAGGACGAGGAGCGCACGTAGTGTTTTCCTCAATCCCTTCAGTGGTAGGAAAGAATACAGAAAGGAACAGGATGATTCAGGAACATGGCTGGTGCCATGGACAGAATTTTGGTTTCTTTGATCATGGAGAGGTTTTCACAGCACCGGGCCTGATGGACTTCAGCTGTCTCAAAGGGGGAAAAGGATTCTGGCTCATGAGCTGGCGGGGCTCATCGAGAGGGCTTTAAACTAGGTTTGAAGGGGGAGGGGGATATAACTATGCTCAGTAAACTAGGCTCAGGGAATAAGGCTGCCCACCCACCTCCAGGGTGAAATCGGCGTGCTCAGCTGGCTCTCTGAAATGCCTGTACACCAATGCACGCAGCATGGGGAACAAACAGGAGGAGTTAGAAATCTGTGTTCGATCAGGGGGTTATGATCTTGTAGCAATTACCGAGACTTGGTGGGACAGCTCGCATGACTGGAATGTGGTCATGGATGGCTATGTCCTCTTCAGGAAAGACAGGCCAGCAAGGTGAGGTGGTGGACTTGCTCTTTACATGAGAGACCGACTAGGGTGCATTGAGTTCTGCCCAGGGGCGGATCAGGAGCAAGTTGAGAGCTTGTGGGTGCGAATTAAAAGACAATCTGACATGTGTGATACTGTTATTGGTGTCTGTTACAGACCACCGGATCAGGATGAGGAGGCTGATGAGGCCTTCTACAGGCAGCTGACAGCGGTTTCACAAATGCAGGCCCTGGTTGTCATGGGAGACTTCAATTATCCTGATACCTGCTGGAAGGCCTGCTCAGCCAGCCATCCACAGTCCAGGAGGTTCCTTCAGTGCATTGCCGATAACTTCCTGATGCAAATGGTGGATGAGCCTACTAGGAGAGGAGCGCTGCTGTATCTTATTCTCACTAATAAGGAGGGTCTGGTTGAAGCGCTGAAGGTTGAGGGTAGCCTTGGTTGTAGTGACCATGAAATGGTGGAGTTCAGGATCTCATGTGGCAGGAAGAGAACGCCTAGCAGAACTAGAACCCTGGACTTCAGTAGGGCCAATTTCGATCTTTTCAAACAATTGCTAGGAGAAATCCCATGGGACAGAGTACTAGAAGGTAAAGGGGCCCAAAATAGTTGGTTAGCCTTCAAGGACCTCTTCTTCCAAGCTCAAGACCAGTGCATCTCAACAGGTAGGAAGTCAAGAAAGGGTACCAGGAGACCTGCATGGTTAAATGGGGAACTGTTGGGCAAACTCAAGTGGGAAAAGAGAGTGTACAGATCATGGAAGGAGGGCCAGGCCACTTGGGAGGAATATAGGTCTGCTGTCAGAGGATGTAGGGAGGCAACTAGGAAAGCTAAGACCTCCTTGGAATTAAACCTTGCAAGAAAGGTCAAGGACAACAGAAAGGGCTTCTTCAAATACATTGCAGATAAAACTAACACTAGAGGCAATGTAGGCCCACTGGTGCATGAGCAGGGTGTCCTGGTGACAGAGGATAAGAAGAAGGCAGAGTTACTGAATGCCTTCTTTGCCTCAGTCTATACTGCTGGAGGCTCTCCTGATGAGCCCTGGAACCCTCCTGAGGAAGTCAGGATAGAGGAAGAGTCTAGCCTGGTTGACGAGGACTTGGTTAGGGACCAGTTAAGCAACCTGGCCATCCACAGATCCATGGGTCCTGATGGGATGCACCCTTGGGTGCTGAGGGAGCTAGCGGATGTCATTGCCAGGCCACTCGCCATCATCTTTGCTAAATCGTGGGGAACAGGAGAGGTGCCTGAGGACTGGAGGAAAGCAAATGTCACTCCGGTCTTCAAAAAGGGC